CTTGATTAAGTGCGATTTTGCAGCATCACCCCAAGAAGTTACACAAATTATAAATAAGCACTGACAGAGTGCATAATATGCCCTTTTAATAGTCTCAAAGTCTGCCATGTTTCTAAGTGTTTTAAAAATATAGATTAACTATCGAGTTCTTAGGTTTTCGCGATTGTTACACATAGGAAATGAAACTATTTTTTCGGATTTAAATCGCGTCTATTTGTTTTTTCAAACAAACCGACGTTCGGGACCCTTTACAGGTCCCATGGTCACGGTTATATAGATTAACTTCCTGGTGCGTGCTGCAAGTTGCGTGATTTGAGAAATAAAGTTGAAATTTTGATCGAGAGTGATACCTAAATATTTAGTAACTGGGACAAGAACAAACATTAACATGTCGTCATCATCATCATATTTATAAATCTAAACTATCATACTTCAATATAAAGTACTGACTCTGTAATTGGTTACGTTTAAGCATATACGGTTTGACATATAATACATATCTGAAATACATTTACAAGTTGCAACTAAGAATTTTAAAAACTCTTGTTTCAAAATATATTAAAACTAGATGTACAGATAATGATACTGGTTTGTTCAGTTATTGTAAAATAATGAGTGTTTATGATAAAGTCATGTTGTCTATTTTAAATGAATTAATTATGTACAAAATTTATTGCCATACCAGAGACCATCCTAAATTACTGAATGAATTGCGTGCATGCATTCAAGTTTCGTATGTGGAAGGAGAATGTAAAAACAAACTAAAAAAAACTTAATATTCTTTTTATTGAATTGATATTCAATCATTTTTATGCGAAATTACTCCACTAGTTTGTTATAATTATTAATACAAAGATCGAACACTCAGAAAAAAATCCTTGGAACCGGCCGGATTCGAACCGAAGTCTTCTAGCATACCGTGGCAGACGCTATACCAACTAAGCCACGGAACGAATCAGCGGACCTCACGAATTTTTTTATGTGCTTGCGTCGTATCTTTGTATTTGGTTTTTCAACGACTTTTTAGCCGTAGCGCCATCTATGAGTAATCTAAGGTGTTTCGTCACCCAGTTAGATACCTTTACAGCTACCAGCCCCGGCTAGAAATGCCTAAAAAGTAGTTGAAACACCAAATACAAAGATACGACGCAAGTACATAGAAAAAATCGTGAGGTCCGCTGGTTCGTTCCGTGGCTTAGTTGGCATAGATAGCGTCTGGCAGACGTCGCTGCTAGAAGACGTCGGTTCGAATCCGGCCGGTTCCAAGGAATTTTTTCTGAGTGTTCGATCTTTTGTATTAATAATTATAAAAAAATACTTGTTAGAGCGAATCGCTGTGGACAAATAAAGCCGCAGTGGTTTTTAGAGCTACAGCTGCATGTATTGGCCTTAAGTTAAATAAATGAAGAATAAATGAAAGAAAAAAGTTAAATATGGGCAAAAATTATACTTTGGAAAAAAGTACTAATTGTCCTAAGCATATTATGGAGCATTAGAAAACACATCGTAGAATATAAAAACAATTGGACCTTATAGCTTGACTGCTATAAAACTAGTTCTGACAAACGGGAGGAAATCTACTTCCAACAATTTATTACCAAATTGTTATGCAGACTACGGAAGAAACAACAACACATTTTCGTCATTTTATGTTGGATTCGGTTAAGCTAACCTGGTCTTTCTTACCTTTTTTCTTTTAGGATTCATCATGCCCATATCAGGACCCATGCCGATATTCGGCTGCGCTGGCATGGGGTGTCTTAAGGACAGCATCTGAGGAGCCATCTGCTGCGACCGCTGCTGCTGAATCGGCTGCGTTGGCCGACCAGGATATGAGCTTTGTGGAAGCGGCATACTACAGTCACAGCACATAGAGCAACACATTCTGGGACATGGACAATCTAAGAAGGAAATAATAATAAATTATACTGGGTTATATCCTATCCGCTACCATGTCATGCAAAGATCTTTTAATAGACCATCAGCATTTGAAAACCTTATAATTGCACCAATACCAGTTGGCAAATGTCTGTGTCGTTAGGTGAGCCCATAGATTTAGTAGAGCCACTAATGGTTGATTCATTAATGGACTCAGTTTTCGTATTATTATCATATGATGGCACATTGATGGCATACGTCATAGTGCTTGTCATCGTGGTGAAACGATTCGCATATCGGTGTTAAGTACTCGTTAATTGATGCCCAGGATACGTTAGACTTACAGGAAAGGAATGGAACGTCGTGCACAGAGGCTCCACACGTGCACCCCATGAACCAGTTTATTGAACCAGTTCTGTGAATTAATAGATTATTTTGTGTCAGGAACTAGATCCCCAAACGTCTACAGGTATATCTGTGAGGTTCGAAGAAACCGCTTGCTGCTGCTTGCGTCATACGCTAGTTGGCGTGTGAGTAAAGTTTTACGAAAGATTGTAGAGGTGTAGTGCGGTGAGAAGCGCCCGAGTGCACAAGGTCATTTGCTCGCTAATATGAATTTTTATTGTATTAATTCACAGAATTCACCGTTGGGTAACCATAAAGTTAATTAACGTTACTGGATAGCCTTCTTCAACGATTTTTAAGACTTGAGTCGGTGAAAGTACAAAGATTAAGGGCTGAGATGGATAGATGTACTCACCGGGTACAGTTCGCGTAGATTGCAATAAAACAGGTTTAATCGTCGTCGCTGTCGGTTTGTGTTTACAGTCTTTGTAGTACAGCAGATTTTCTATGCTCTCTTCGGAAGAAGAATGTCGAGTTTGATGCTTTTTCCTTGCCATCGTTGTCGATATTTGTAGAATTACCATGATCTACAAATATATTAGATGCATCTTTCACTAACTATTTCTTAGTAGCAGTAGAGCTGTTAGTGAAACAGTTCGTCCAGGGAACTACTACCACCTTATCTATTTCCGCCGCCAAACAGTAATGCTTACCACCAGACGCATGTCGTTTCGTCATTTGGTATCATAAAAAAAACTAACATCTTTCACTGTCTCCTAAAAAGTCATTATGTCCACAGCACTACTCGTTACGAAGACTTTCGTGTCTTTGAAATGTTGCAAGTTTTTATGTGGTTTCGTCACCTTTCCTTCACTTTTGAAAAGCAACTAATGAAAAATTGAAAGGACAGTTTCCACGACATTTGCTTGCACGTTTGTAATTCGATATCGAGGATCGCACCTGTTAATGTCCTCGTCGTCATTACTCCCTTCAATATTATCCATATAATTGTTTGTTGTATGAACAACATTTTAATGGAACATGTTTTTTGTCAAACATGCTCGGAAGTGTTTGCATTACTTTCAAAAAAGGACACGCATAGTTTGTCATTTATGGATCGTGTTGCCGTTCTGCTCTAAATTTATAAATATAAGATATATGTAAACAGGCTAAAGAGAAACTGTCATACAGTCAACTGCTCACTAGCATCAGTGTCCGTAATTGCGAGAATAAAAAATTGTTCATGGTATTACTTGTTTTGCGTTTGATTATGGTGCATGAATATTCCTGCACCACATACTTTAAAAATGGCGGTAAAATGTATGAAAGTACTTTTAAGTTCTGTTTTTTTTTTTATTAGTAGTAGTTTTTTATATTGTCTTGAAGAATGAGGTTGCTACTAAAGACTACAGTTTAACTGCCTCCATAGCTGAATGGTTACCGTGCTGACATGTCACGCAAAGGTTTCGATTCTCGGCCCGGGAAAAATATTTGTATGGCCTGCTTTTATTTCTCTCGTGAATTTGGGTGTAATTTGTGGTTGTCCGAAAAACACTAAAATTGGCGGGAATGGGTTAGGCATATTTATCCGGAAATCCCTTACTTCTCGGTATCTCTAATAATGTACTTATTATTTTCATGACTACTTACCAACTCAAATATTCTCATATCCGCGTCTTTTAAAAGTCACATGAGCCTCAGCACTCCTTCGTTATCAGCTGAGTACTGTTAGAAGGAAATCGTTTATGGTTTATTTAGTAAACATCCCATTTTGTACAGTCGGTTTCATTTTCAGTTCAATTGAGAAATTTTCTATTAATAAAACCGTTAACTTTTCAAAATTGGCTCTGGTCTGGGTGTTCTGGAGAGGGTTCTTCCTCGTCCTGCTCCTATTGTTCTGTGGCTGGTTGGAACATTGTAAGAACATGTCCGAGTTTATCCATCGCGATTTAATGCCGCTATAGACCAAGATCTCATTAGAGCAGTTTAGCAGTAGGGCTCTTTGTGAAAGAGTTTGACCAGGCAAGTGTTACCAACTTAACTATTTTTGGCGCCAAGCAGTAGTGTGAGCATTTCTGCCGTCTGCTAACAAAAACGTGGCTAAGTGACAGTAATATTTTTTTGAGATATCATAAAAAACAATAATCCAGTTTTAGAATATTGAAATTGTTTAACGATATTTCAGCCACGCATCGTTAGGGTAAGTTCCGATAAGTCGAATACGTTAACTAATTTTAACTGTTTTTAAAACAGAATTTTGTGCTCTATCCTTTGCTATTTAAAACGGATATTTGACCATTTGTCACTTAGCCGCGTTTTTGTTAGTAGACGGCAGGTTTTGCTTTTGAAGGTTAAGGGTGCTGGTGAAATTACAGGCACATGGGTCTTGTCAACTTATGGCTCAGGGTGACGGGCGCCGTGGAGGTGGCCCTCAGATCTTTGCGATTTAAAAAAAACATCTAACTCGTCACACCATCTCTTGAGTTTTCCACTTTCTCCGTCTTGCGTTTAGTGGAATCCACTCCGTGGTGGTCTTTGCCAACAGCTCATTTAACATACGCCAGTCGTATCCGGCTCAGTATATTTCTGGCTGGCGGCTTATTAACCAATCGCGTTGAAGGCACGCCGAAAACCGCAAATACGACAAAAGTAAACACTAGGACTAAATAGTCTCTAAAATCCTTGTCTTGGTATAATAAAGTGGCATGTGATAATATGTCAAAGGGCTTTTATCACATGAAAGCTTTTTAAATACTATCAAGTTGACGGGACGAATAAGTAATAATAACACGAAATACGTGAAACAAATTATGAAATTTTATAACTCACTTATTTAAAATAGTTCGTAACTCTCGATAAAGAAATATCGACTGATTTCGTTCGTAGACTCTTTAAAACGCTTTCCTGAAAAGTTGACAGACGTGGCCTTATTGTATATCAAGGGGTGCGAAATGTAGAAAAACATAGACACAGAATTAGTATGTATATAGTCTAAGTGCATTCTTATCACAAACGACATTGATTGATGCTACTCTTGATCCTGGACCATTAGTTAAAATTATAATTATCATCATCATATCAGCCGAAAGTCGTCCACTGCTGAACATAGACCTCCCCAAAAGATTTCCAGACTAGCCGATCGGACGCGACGTGCATCCATCGGTTACCCACCGCCCTTACCAGCTCATCCGTCTTCGCCTTCCGGTCCCGAACCGGTCTCCATTCGAGAAACTTTCTGCCCCAACGGCCGCCAGTTCTACGAGCTATGTGTCCTGCCCACTGCCACTTCAACTTGCTAACCCTTTGAGCTATTGCTCGCTCCATAGCTCGTTGAGTGACTTTGAGCTTTCTTATGAGGCCCACAGTAAGTGACCACGTCTCAGAGCTGTAGGTCATCACTAAAATAATATTTTACACGAATAAATGTCATTAAATAATAGTGCCTATAACCTTAAATAGTGCCTATATAAATGATTTACTGATTACGTAAACAACTGCCTTAATAATAAAAAACACGTGCTGGTAGTTTTCATAGATTACAGCAAGGCGTTTGATACTTTGCGTCATAGTACACTTATCGAAAAACTTGACAATAGTGGGGTAAGAGGGACATTACTTCGATGGTGTGAGGATTATCTTCGTGAGCGTAGTTATTGTGTTAGAATAGGTAGTGCTTGCAGTGATGCAGTCAGCGTTACGGAGGGCACTGCTCAAGGCTTAGTTTTGGGCCCATTACATTGCCTGACATATGTTAACGATATTAATAACGTCATAGAAAACTGCACAGTGTTTCAAAATAACACAAAAACTTTAGCAGCATTAGTTAGAACTGTTCCAAAGTTTACTGCTAGATGGCATTGGCATAAAAAACCCAATTTTTGAATCGCGGTGTTAAGATTTTCCCTAAGCTAATGTCACTAGTATTTTGTATGAAATTGATCTATTCTCCTACTTGTCGAGTTATTATTGATCGATTCAACGATAGTATTCTACGGTTATCCCCATTACAAAAAGAAGGGAAGAAGCGTGTCGAACTCGTGCCCATCTTTCAAGACAAGTTACCGGGACTTTCAACAGAACGAATCCCTTTTATTGGACACACTTGTATTGTAAACTTCTGTACAATAAACCAAGTCTCTTTCACTAAATGTCATCGTTTGATTCCCGGACGTAGTAAGGGGACACCAGTTAGCCGAGCAAACCTATACCACCCCCTTCTACTACATGCCTATAAAGTGCCATAATACACATCAAAGAGTACCTAATACATAACGAGTATAGTCCTCAGCTCATAAGACCTCTGGTGACTAACGCGGGAAGTATTTTTTCCCTATATATACATGTATCTACCCGAATTCATGCTTTCTACTTGCTTTCTAGGTTTATGTTTTTATTTAAACATGTTTTGAAATTAATACACTACCTATATATTTCGAATTCAGAAAAAATATCTAAAAATTGTATGGCAAAAAAAGAAATGCCGGCACCATGTATTGATTAACGACATCTTCCATCTTTTTGGACATACAAAGCAAAATGTACGTAGTGATTAGACTGTGGTACACATATAATGTAAGCGATATTGGATTCGCTCGTCTTATTCTTAGCTTACTTAGGCTGCTGCCAGACGGACTACTATTTGTTGATGTCAAAATGGAAGAACAGAGATGTTACTAGGAGCTTGTCACTGTATTCAAGATATTTATAATTCCAAATGCTAACTTCTCTTCTTACTCTGCGGTGGAATTTGCTATGAAAAATATAAACAAGGGTGCCATTTCAAAATAAAACACATTTAAGAATTGTGCAAATGTTAAATATCTATCTAGAAAAGTTTTACCGCTCGTGTTTAATAATAAAAATAATATAAGTATTTATTCATATAGCTAGGATCCATTCGTTAGTATGACAAACATCTTATCAGATATTGTTATTAGTAATAATAAAAAAATTTAAAACAAATTGACTTAACAAATGCACTTCAAGTAACCAGTCAATAACTATAAGCTTGAATAAACAGTCATTAAATGGTTAACATGTTTGTGTATGTGGGAATCGGGTTTTTATGCAAACATCTCTAGAATACTGTTGGTGTTGGTTCGCAATCTGCCCATCAGCGAGGCAACTACCTTACGCATGATAGCGTGAAACCAAACTGTTAACAATTGTTTCGCAGAGACTGCAGCCGTCGCTTGCAGTTGAAGTCACGACTGCACGCGCTAACTGCAGACGTCCATCTGTTAGCAGCCTTAATACAAAATTATTTCATCAAGGCAGAATTATCGAAAGAGACTTATTTTAAGTAAGACTAAGTAAATAATTACAATTGGATAAGGTGAAAGCCCTTCTTTGGCGGAATGTGCGAACCAAGAATATTACTTTATTTAATTTACTTTGAGTGTCGCACGCAAAGGTTCACTCGTCAACATTATTACAATAGGACTGTCGTCGAGTGAAGTGTTTGATACAAATTGGATTTATTTTTAATGATATCCAACAAAGGGAAGAACAAGTCGTGCGCCTTGCAGTAAACAACACCCTCAGAGTTTTAAAGTAGTTGCAGTACCTCGCAAAGATCTGAGGTGCACTGATCCCTACAACATAAGTTGATAAGCCCCATATGCCTGTAATTTCACCAGCACCCTTACCCTTTAAAACCGGAAAGCAATAATGCTCACATTATTTCTTAATGGATGAAATAACACTGCTGACTGGTGCATCAATCAAGTCTTTATTCTATTTATTATGGTATAGATGTAATGCGTTAGTTACCGAAGGAAATAATATATTTAAAAATGTTTTTTTTTATTAGTCTCACGTTAGTCCTGCACCTGCTGAAAAAAATGGACAAGAATGATACACGAGATACCTAATAACTGATATATCGCAATAAACGATAAAGCCTTGTAATAGAAAAAAAATAGGTTGAAGATAGAAAATTTTATCGGGTGCCGCCCCTGGGGCGTGGTGCTCAGAAAGTTAGAAATATTTCCGCTTTATATCCCGAAATGTATTCTTTGGTGAAATTCGCTGCCAACCTTTCGATCACTGGAGGTTTTAACAAGGTAAATTTAAAAGCTCGTTAGTGAAAAGTTTAGGTAGTAAAGGGCCTATGGGCCCCAAGGACTCCAGTTTTCCGCTGGTATGCAAATTCCTATTTTGCATTAATTCAACATACAAATAAATATCGTATTGCATAGAAAATCTACCTGTTTGAAATCATCGTACCTGAGGTACTTAAACAAATGGCGTAAATGATAATTGCAATGTGTGTTATACATCTAAAGCCATGTAGGGCAAGAGGAATATACTTTATTTCGAGTCAAATGTTTTGGGCTCTAGGAAGACCAAATGAAATCTTATAAAAATTTTAAAGTACGCTAAATTTGTCTGTGTTTATCAATGCTTACGATGTATTTGCTGAAAACTTGCGAATTGTGCTAACATTTCTCGAAAAAAAATGGGGTAAAAGTTACAGTCCTCGTATTTCTTACAACGATAACTTCTCATATTCTCAAGATTTACAAATATCAAATTTGTTTTTCCGCCTACTGGGTTTGGAGTATCGTAGCGACATGTCTTTAAAATCGTTTAAACTAATCTGTTTGTCTTTTTTATCGTTTTAGAGACTATAACGCTAAGCCCGTTAGATTATGAGCTAAAGCTTCAAGTCTGTCTGCCCCCGAGAATTCTTCTAGGTCACCTGA